ACAACTTAGCCTGTATTTTCTAATAATTATCTTATAATAGAAACAATGTTCTAAAAATGCACCTAAATTTAACATGACGAATCCTATTATTTTACACGGCAATATTTGAGTAGGGAGATCAAATCAGTATTTACAAATTGGGTTTGAATCTTTTAGATACAAGATTTTTTTTTTAAATTCAAAGTTCGGTTCTGTTGTGTATTTTTTCAGGCCGATTCAGTTACTTAAACACAAGTAAAGGAATAACCCGCCCAGCCCTACATAGACACACGACACATTATTTCAGAGATAATTTGACACTGTTAGTAAGATTCAGACTTGGCATTCATTGTATGGATGAAAAGTTTATGAATTTCTGTGACCCCGTATATCAGGTACAGCGTGGTACGTTCATACCTAGGAAGAGGCAGTTGATTGGGTAGATGAAGTAGAGTTTATCTGTTTCTGTGATTTTGGTATATGAGGTATAATATGTCAAGTTCCTACCTAACAGCCGTTGCTTTCCCTAACGTAAGTTATGTACACACTTGTACTAGGAAGTACTACAGACGTGGGTCCGGGATCCGAACTCACGACATAAAGTATGGTATTCTCGCACTCTTTCACATTCACACCACCTCACCGACAGTAAAAAAAAATCAATGCAACTGAACAATATTAGGCTAATAGGTTTTAATTATTCTAAATATTTACACTTAAAAGGTTGGTGTTTTGTTCATGATAGCGTAAGTAAACATTAATACATTTTAGTTAGTATTACTATTGGGACTATTTACAAAGTGTCATGTTTTTAGCATCAGGTTTCATTAAAAAAACTTCTCTATATTAATTACTATTTATTAAAAATTCATAATGTTTTTGTAATGAAAAGAAATTAATTAAAAGAATGAATTAATTACTTTTACTATTTAATGACTATGGATCAACTTGGCGTCAATATCCTAATATATATAACCCCCCGTGCGCACTTCTCTCTCTCTCTCTGTCTGTCTGTCCGCAAAATATTTTCGCCGGACATCAAATCAGAATTTACAGCGATATATCGAGAACTTTATACGGACTTTTGTTGAAAATAATATGGTAGATGTTTTAAATGTATAACCACAATTTTATTTAAAGGAGAAAAATAAAAAATAAAGGCGTATTCGAATGTGGAAAAACAATTTTATTTATGCACAACCGGAAATGTGTTTAAATTTGGGACAAGAACGCATTTAACAATGACGTCGCTTATTGTTTCCACTAAGAAAGAACACAAAACTGATGGAAAAAAAAAAAAAAAACAACGACACTGATGAACTGTTTAGAATAAAAAGAAATGAACTATTTCATTCAAATATGATTTAGAGCTATGTACGCTATAAAATGTATACAATACGATTTTCTCGGCCTAAACTTAAAAAAATTATTTTATCTATTTGGATTCTAGATCTAGAGATTCTAGATCTAGATTTAGACTTTATCTACTGTAGAATCTATTCCATAAATAAATTTCTATAATAAACTTTTTCAGGACTTAAATATTTTATAGAAATCTTTGTTTGTTTAGCAATGAAACTGGCTAATTTTGGGAAAAAAAATTAATTTGAAAAAATAGGCATATTCGCGTAAGTTATTTTTTTTAAACACTTCTTTTATTCTCCATATTTTAAAGGTACCTAATTAGCTGAGATAATAGTGTACTTGATACCACACGGGTGGTGCCGGATCGAGACACACCAAGTCACCCCTAATTTTTTTTTATATGTGAATCTTCCTATTTTAAACTATAAAGAAAGGAACTACTTTGGAAATCTTTGTTTATCTATGCAATTTGCTAATCTCTATAATATATGAAGCAAAGTTGTCGGGTGCCCGACATCAGGCACTTCCCGGCGCCGCAGTCGCTTCAAATTTGACAGGATCTTGCCTTGGGGCGACAGAACACGGGGGCCGAGACCGGTTGGCCTAAAGGTCTACGATGAGGGGTCAAAACAGACCTCGACTGACCGGCGCCTTATATGAGCTATAAATCGAAAAAAAAATGTCCACGTAGGAACCTGTTCATAACTCCTGAGGTCGTAGACCGACCCTCGGCCGAATTAATTAAGCATTCAAATTCTCAATGTTTTTGAAAGCCTAAGCGAAGCTGGGCAGCATGCCTAGTAAATACTAGAAGACGTGTCTGATTTATGGCGTTTTATTCACTTCATTTAGCTGAAACAAAATAAATAAATGAGTAAACATTACAATACAGATTAAATTGAAATGCTACACACTTATGTAATGAAAAAACATGAAACTATGACACATCCGCAGATTATTGCTCTATAACATTTACAGTAAGGACAAAATACGAACTTAAATATTGTGTCATCGCCGCGTTTGTCAGGTAGAAATTAAATTTTAGATTTATTCATTGTTTTTTTTTTTTGTAGTTTAATTAAAATACTTTAAATAAATACGGCGTATCTAGTTTAGCTTAGAAAACTTAATAATGCGAAAACATCTCTCCGCTGTGCCTCATGTACGTTTTTCCAGAACAGAAACAAATAATTTAATTGTGGCATATAGTATGTCCGAAAATAGAACTCTAAATCAGTATATTCTAGAAACAGTTTTACGCGAATAATTTTTGCTTTGCGTCTGGTTTTCCCGAAACTTTATTGAAACGAGAAAAATTGCCCGTTGAGGAGGGATACAACGGGCGCTAGGTTGATAGTGCTGTCTATTTTCTCGGTACTTTAATTTATACAAAATATAGTCATAGGCATATCCCTAAACCATGTGACAAAAGTCGCATTTAGAGTTTCTTTCAGGCAACTCTACTTGGGAGAAGGGGGCTTCGCCCCCCCCTACACACACACACTCCAAAACATGTCTACCGTCCCATTGAACGAAATATAATTATATACTTTTTCCAGTGTCCGCCCTCTCCCAGAAAATTCAGAAAATCTGGGCGGGGCTTCGCACCCAACCGGAAAAGATGCTTGAAAAAAAAACTGCACGCTAAACACTTTTAAGATTAGAAAAAGTTCCCCCCTCCGGGGAGGAAAAAGTCTGAAAGAAAAACTGGTGTCGCGCTTAGCCACTACCCGAAAAAATTGCATTAAAGAAATTGCAAGAAAACCACTTTTTAGATTAGACACATTAATTAGGCGGTAATTTTATTATAGAGTATCGATGAAGAAATTTCTTTTGAGTTGGGAAGGGGGGGGGGGCTCAGACGTTCTTACGCTGGGGTGGGGAGACTAGCTTGCTGCAGATGCTAACTATTAGCACTAGCCAGGTAGCTTCACATACTTGCGGAGACTAGCTTGCTGCAGAGGCTAACTATTTGCACTAGCCAGCTAGCTTCACATACTTGCGGAGACTAGCTTCTTATTTAATATGTTTCGATTATTTATTTGTGTATATCTAAGTTAGGGTGCTTAAACGAAAATATTTGCAAGTATCAGGGACACTTTTGAAAATATGGTTGCCATCGTAATAGCGGCCATCTTGAAAAATACGCCCTTTTGTGGAGTTCTAAATTGTCATAAACTAAAATATAAATTTGACATATAATCATTGATCCTTCGTGTTATGATGCATGTTTGACTAGGCAAATTGGTGCGCATGATTGATGGTGCGGCGGTATAATGAATGGGGGAATGTGTGACGCGGTACGCTAGAAAGTGACTTTGTAGTGTGAGTTCGTTGTTGCCGGGGAAGAAGTTAGAAAAGAGTCTTGTTCTTGTAGTCTTGGGGTGATGCCGTTATGTAACCAAGTATTAAGATCTTATTGTACAAGTCCTTGTATGTATTTGTATTGACGAATAAACAGTAGAGTTATATAGCGTCTTCTATCAAGTCATTTGGTTTGATCACTTCAGAATGAACTGTAATTGTCTAGACGGAGTATAATAGTAGTGCTAGAACCTCTCAAATAACAGGCTTAACACTTCATTTAATAACATCAATTAAGTCAGCTGGCTAGTATTCTTAACATAAAACACTATAGACATATTTTTTTTTTAATTTTCAAAATTTGTTTGGCGAAAAATCACTAAAAACAATGCAAAAGTTAACGGTATTTCACCATAAAATGTTTATAAAATTTGAAGAAAAAACCATTTCTATAGGTTTTTCTGTTTAAAAAACTAGTCAGCAGACTCAATTAATGTTAGTAAAAGAAGGAGCAATGAATAAATTATTATGGCCAATATATTCGTTATTCCACAAAAAGTTATTTTGTCAAGACGGCCGCCGTTGCCATGGTAACCATATTTTCAGAAGAGTCCCTAACGCATGCAAATATTTCCTCTTAAGTATCTTAACTTAATTTACCAACACATAAATAAAAAAAGGCTTATTATTAAAAACGTTTTTTCTCTTTTTTTCTGGAGCCTACCTCCTTAAATTGTAAGTGCAGTATTCTTTATGCTTTTTAACAATTCTCAGTAATCGGATGTGATACCTTACACTATTTCTGTGTGAACACATTAACTTTAGTATTTTGTTTTTGTTAGCTAGAAAAAGTTGCGTATATAAGTATAGGTTCTTAAACTTAGATTCATTTAACCCTTAAATGCATACCGCTACAGACCTGCAACATACCAGTTACCTTCCCATAAAATATTAGCCTAAACATGTTTGATTCTGTGCATCGCATTGTTTAACTGCTACAATGTTAGCCTACAGCTTGGGTATGTCTAAATGACCTAGATTTTTTTACGCCAAGCCGATCTCAAATTTGTGCATGGTCACAAGGTTTTTTTTCTCAGCATTTTTGGTTGGCGTTTCAAAGTTCATCAAAGTCAAATAAACTGGTTTGGAATTTTTAAAAAATATGTTTCTGACTACCTAAGGTATGTGTTACATATTTTATGTGTTGTTTTGAAAATCAATTCATAAATTATTTATAAATCTTCGCAAAACGTTGGTTGCAGTACTGCAACGTTATGCAGGTTTACAAACTTTTGCACTATTTATTTTTTCCTTTATAGTACCTGGTTTTTCTTCTAGCTTAAGCATAATCATTAAGAAATCAAATGTGAATCAAGGTGAAGAATAATACGAAGTAGATGCTCTTGGTGATCCAGAGTATCTTCCTGAATCTCCTGGACCAGTGTGGACCCTAGAAACCCGGACCAGTGTAGACCCTGAACCTCCTGGACCAATGTGGACCCTGAATCTCGTGGACCAATGTGGACCCTGGATCTCCTGGACCAGTGTTTGAACTTGGATCTACAGGACCAGTGTGGACTCTGGATCTCCTGAACCAGTGTGGACCCTGGATAAGTGTGGACCCTGGATCTACAAGACCAGTATGGACCATGGATATCCTTGACCAGTGTGGACCCTAGATATCCTAGACCAGTGTGGACCCTGGATCTCCTGAACCAGTGTGGACCCTGGATAAGTGTGGACCCTGGATATCCTGGACCTGTGTGGACCCTGGATCTCCTGGACCAGTGTGGACCCTGGATAAGTGTGGACCCTGTATCTCTTGGACCAGATTGGACCCTGGATCTCCTGGACTAGTGTGGACACTAAGTCACGTTGAATAGTGCAATGACAGATGCAAATCCACATAAAGCCCAAACAGTTTGCCACAAGTGCAACATATATCTTTGTTGTAGCAAGATCAACAACTGTCTTAAAAGTATCACCTTACTACATAATGTTGCAGACATGCAACAATTCGGATTTTAATTAAAGAACATGTTTAAGCTAAAAATATTTTTTTTTCTTGACTATACTCTTCATATACCCATCAAACAATTTAATTTTTTTTCAATCATTATTAAAAAATCATGCATTTAAGGGTTAAATGTTTGAGTAGCCTTCAAAAACCGGAAGTGATACTTAATCTAGTTTCAGTTTCTAAAATACTGATAAAGTCATCTAAGTGACATTAAAACAGGTGGCAAACTAAACTTAAAGGTTGTAACTTTCTGAAACATAGCCCGCAGTATATATATATATATATATATATATATATATATATATATATATATATATATATATATATATATATATCTATATCTATATCTATATATATATATATATATATATATATATATATATATATATATATATATACTGCGGGCTATGTTTCAGAAAGTTACAACCTTTATATATCTATATATCTATATCTATATCTATATCTATATATATATATATATATATATATATATATATATATATATATATATATATATATATATACATATATACAAAGCAAAGTTATATCGAAAAAAAATTCCTACATAGGAACCTTTTTTCCCACGTTTTCTTTAACTTGCTTTCGTCTCTGTTTGTTTGTCTTTCCAATCAAATCTTGCGATCGACATTTCTGGCACTTCCCAGTTAGCTAGCGCGCTGAAATTTTCAGGGAAGCTTTGTTTTGGATGATATTAGAATATTAAATTGTTATTATAACTTTTGAGGTCGCAGAGCGACCCTCGGGGGTGGCAAAAATAAATTATGATTATTTCCGGAAGACCTTTAGAACTCACCGGTGCTAATTTTCCCTATTTAAACATTGTTAATTTCTAAAACAAACGATGACTCTTTTCAAAACAGTGTACATTTTACTCATTTTTTCCACAAACCTGGGTAAATGAATCGGCCTTATTGATATTGTATCGGTCGATCTCTGCTCGATCGGCAAGGCTAAAATGTTGTTTTTTTCTTCAACATATATGCTAGTGAATATTATTAACCCATATTCTGCTAGCGTCCCACTTATGGGACGCTTGTATAAAAAATTGCTAAAATTTATTAAAAACTAGTTAAAACACAAATTATGTTTCATTGTATTTGAAAATGGTTAGACTATTGAATTTTTGTGTGTTTTGTGAAAAAAAAATAACTTAGAAAAATGTTATAGGGTCGGATTTGCAGGACTTGTCAAAATGGCGGAAAAAAGAAAACATGCGCACAGGAAAATGCATATCTTCTAATATATTAACATTTTAAGTGCAAAATACATTTGAAACTTGTAGCAGTACCATATTTCTATCTGATAAAAATTTAAGAATAAAAATTTTTTTTTACTACTTCGTTATATCAAGTGTACAACAAGCGTCCCATAAGTGGGACGCTAGCAACGAATGGCCCCATGTAGATTGTTACACAAACGTCACATTTATTTGACACTAGCGAGAAACACAGATGCAAATGTTTATGTTAAATGGTTATTTATGGTGAAACAATGGTTGACTATGTTAACTGCTGAGTTTGGGGTGTTAAGTAGTATTTATAGATATTTAATTATGACCTTGACCTATATTTATGCAGATTGTTACACAAACGTCACATTTATTGGACACTAGCGAGAAACACAGATGCAAATATTTATGTTAAATGGTTATTTATGGTGAAACATTTGTTGACTATGTTAACTGTTGACTTTGGGGTGTTAAGTAGTATTAATAGATATTTAATTATGACCTTGAGCTATATTTTCTTATATATTATTGTATTAAAAAATTGAAAATATTGAAAAACTTACATTTTATTTTTAAGTTTTCAGAATTACACTTACTGAAGTATTTGATACCATTGAATACAAACTAATTTAGTACTGCTGTAAATTTACTAGCGCGTGATATTAAAATTATAACAAACCAGAATAATAACAATGGCCACGATTGAGGTGCAATAAATCAGTCAAGGGGGTTGGTTGACACTCTTCATATAAGAGAGCTCAAGCTACATATAGCAGAAAGGTGAATTAGCAGTGTTCAGTTGTCATGCCCCAATAATATTCCCCTCCAAAGGTTCCCGATACCAGTTTTACTTTGTTAACTTTTTAAGGAGATTCCTGGTGTTGGATTGGGAGGTGTTCGCATAGTGAGGTGCATACATGGATGAGAGCCATGAACACTCAATACAAGCCCCCAGAGACAGATCCGTGCCCTAGAAATAAGATGTCTGATGTCCTAATGTACGCCTGTGAGGGGGGGGGGGGGGGGGGGGAATAGCGAGGGTAACAAAAGAGAAGATAGCTGGATGACATCTGGGACTGGACCGGATCGTCTTTTGCAAATTCACTGAGGGCAGAGTTTCTTTCAGGCATCATTTCAGAGAGGGGGGGGGCAGAACGAAATGGAATTTATATACAAAACATACTTTTACCAATGTCCACCCTTCCCCTAAAATTTAAGTCCCCCCCCCCCCCTGAAAATTTTAAGTACGTCCCCCAAAAAATCAATTATTTATATTTAATTATATTACAGTTTCGATGAATAATAACAATTTTTGTGATCATGTGTGTATAATTAGATGTACAATCACAGCTTTACTTATTTCCAAGTGTTGTTCACTTTAATGGATGCTAGATTGAAAGAAAACTAGACTTTTGAACAAAATTTCTGCATTTTAGACCATGGTATGGCTAACCCAATTGATCATTATCATTATTTTTAGCTGTCCTAAACAATGTAATCATTGGTCTAACAATACAAAATCAGTATACAGCTTAATTTACGCGTGATTAGCCATATTTCGTGATAAATGATTTTATTTTTCAATAAATGTACACGGGGCCGTTCGTTGCTAGCGTCCCATTTATGGGACGTTTTTTTAAAAATCGATATTTAAAAAAGTATTGATTTTTAAAAAAAAGCCATAGTCATTCCTTCATTCAGTGCCCAAAAGTTAAACCATATAAAAAAATTATAAAAATTTGAGACCTTGGGATAATATGGGTTAACAGATTCCTTTTTGCATTTATAATTATCGAAAAATACATTACACACAGTTTAATGCATTTAGTGCTAAAATATTTTATTATATTATGGTTTTTGATGGTGTATGTTTTGTTTTACATTTTAGGCGCTTTAAAATAAACTACACCAAAATGACAAACATTAAAAACATTTTAAGAAAGGTTTATTATGTTTTTACATGTCTCAAAACTTTAAGCAACGATTGACACTGCATGGACATTTTGAAAAAAAAATGCATTGACAACAACAATTATTTGACAAACTTAATATGTAGGTAAGTAACGCTAAAATAAATTTTCTGAAAAAATAAAAGCTCATCAAAAAGAAATTGTGAAAAACTATAGACTTAACGGAAAGTCAAGTGAAAAACATTTTAAATGTGTTTCGAAAGTTTTTTCTTAAAATTATGAAATTGTATAATAAAAAGCTAGATTTCTTTAAATTCGTTTTCCACACTTGGATATTTTCTGTAGTTTTAAAAACCAAAGAGTATTTTATATTATGTTTAGAGAAGTGGGAATTTAAAGAAACATTGCACAGGAGAAGAGGACAAATAAAGCGATCGCTATTTTAAAGTTGACAACCTCTAAACCTCTACTTTTATTAGCCATTAAACACTTTCACTGAACCCTTTTTTTCACCTTCAATCTTTGTTGGGCTCTGTTTGTGGTGTGCATATATATATATAATTATCTTCATGGAGACAATAGAAAACATAACGCAGCTTAGCCACCAACCTCATCCCCACCTGTCAGGTGAACTTTGGTTCGACCCGAATGTTTATAATTGACGGCTATTAGGGGCAGATAATTTAGTTTTTAAACTATTTGAAACTAAGGGGAGATAATTAGTTCTGCTTGATATTGTCGTTGTCGCCTGTAAACGGCTGCTTTCGCTGGGCGAGGTTGGATGGGGGGGGAGAGGCAGGGGCGTCGGGTAATGTCGAATACACAAATTATGAATTGTTGATAAGTAAAAAATAAAAGAACTAGTTAGTGGCGTAAGCTACGTCTCGGGTTAACTATTTTTGATTAACGGTTATTAACCAGAATATACCTGGCTTAGTACTAATGTCTGAAGGCTCGAGTTTGTTCATTTTGAATAAATTGTAGTATTTCATTCGATGTTTTTCAATGCATAAAAATACGTTTTGTTAATAAGCTTTTACGAGAAAATAAATTACAAAATATTGGTGCGGCACTTAAGGGTGTCACCCCCAGAGGCGTAGCGACCCTTCAAATTTATTTGCATCCCCCCCTCCCCCTCAAAGTTTCGATTTGCACCCTCCTCAAAATTTCGATTTGCACCCCTCCCCTCCAATTCTTCTCTATATATTTTGCTATTTTTTGCATTGGTGTCACCCCCCTAAATGGTGTCACCTGGTGCGGTCCGCCCCCCCACCCCCACCCCCCTCGCTCCGCCTCTGACCACCTTTACTAGAATTTAAGCAGCGATCATGATTTTTAAATATATTTTTAAAGAAAATAATTTTTTTTTCCATTTGGTCCTCTTTAGTGCATTATTACATATAAGCTTTTTACTTATACTTTTTATGCATTTGTTTAATGATTTTTGGAT